GTTGTGCATCATGAGTACGCACAACTAGGCCAGACTGCCAATAAGGAGTACTACCAAGAAGTCCTCTGCCATCTTTGTGATGCAGTTCGGCACAAAAGACTGGAGCTGTGGGCCGCACGCAACTGGCAGCTGCATTATGACAATGCCCCAGCTCATTCATCACACCTGATCCAGGGTTTCCTGGCCAAGCATGGCATTCCGCAGGTTTGCCAGGCTCCCTACTCTCCTGACATGGCTTCTTATGATTTCTGGCTGTTCCCAAGATTGAAGACACCATTAAAAGGCTCCCATTTTGACATCCGCAAGGACATCATACAGAACACAATGGCGCAGCTGCACGCCATTCCAAAGGAATCCTTCCAGAATTTCTTCTAGCGATGGAAGGACTGCTGGGCTAAGTGTGTGGAGTCACAAGGGGCCTACTTTGAAGGTGATTAGGTATAGTAACCACCCAGATACAGAACTTTGTTTTCCTGGCCCAAGGTCGGATACGTTTTGGACATAGTAGTATATAAAGGAAGGACCCAAACTCAACGCATTAGAAAGATGTTATATATATGAGACATAATGAAGAAAGGTCTACAGATGAACAATACATTTACAGAAATACATAATCCCCTATTCAACATTCTAGTAAAAACACACACCAAATAACCCCACCCCTTCCCCATCTCTTCAACCACTCAGAGTAGCTTCCCCCTACCTCATACCACTCAACTCTACACAAACATACCCACATATACAGATACCCCCAAGCATATACTCTAGACTGAACCGCTACAGCATAGCGACAGCGCCAACACAGGGAGCAGCCTGTACACACATACAGTTACCCCCCTAGCAAGTAGTCTAGACCGAACTGCTACAGAATAGCAACAGCACCAATGCAGGGAGCAGCCCGTACACATATACAGATACCCCCCAAGCAAGTGGTCGAGACCGAACCACTACAGCATAGCGACAGCATCAACACAGGCATCAACCCGTACACATATACACAAACCCCCCTCAAGCAAGCAGTCTGGGCCGAACCGCTACAGCATAGCAACACCACCAACACAGGGAGCAGCCCGTACACATATAAGAAAATCAAATATATATAAGTACATATACTTAATAAGCTAACAGTGAGTTTAATAACAAAACACTCACAAGCTTCTCCTTATAATAATTAGAAAACTGTTACAGATCACTCTGAATAAACAACCTGTTGGGTGACATACATAATAACGAGCATAAGTTCCACAAGAGGAGTAAGGTCAAGACCACATGACCTAACTCATGTGAGAAGATCCTGATATGCAGGCTCCCCACACTATATTTACTTCTGCTACCAGAAAATCATGTCAACAAGTAGCAGTCACAAAGTTTTAAAGAGATGTCACAAAATATTTCATTTCCATTTTAGTACAATTTTAATTCTTATGTTTTAATCTTTAATCGATAATGTTTAAATTCTGTTGTCTCAGTAGTTTAAAAATTTAACTGGAAGACTAAATTTATACATTTAAAAACACTCAAGTGCACAATATGCATCCTTGTTGAAGAATTAGTTGCAAATTGTTAAATGCAATTCACCAACTGAGTCTGGTATCATTGTATGCCTGATGATGACCCATTATAAGGGTCAAAACATGTAGCATCAATAAAACCAAATGTTGATATCATAGTGTCTGCTTGCTTTATAGAATATTGTTATGTAAACGGCATATTTCTGTATACATTTTATGTACATATGTAGCTGTTGCAAGGCGTTCGCACCCCTGCTTCTACACAGTGTGGTGTGCCTGATACCATTTCACACATCCAGAGGCACTCATAATGGCCATTTTCCGGCAAAACCCAAACGTTTAAATTGTCAAGGAATCTTGTGTGGCAACCTAGGAGATGACTCATATGGATTTGCTCATTGTATCAGGGTGGACATGTCTATTGAACTGACAGTGTGCTATTCATCTTTTTGAGGCCTTTTATTATACACACACATATACATATATATATATATAGTGACATGTTGCGCAAAGGAGAACCCCCCCCCACCAGCAGTGACGTGGCGGGTGAGTCAGCGCTCCCCTCCCCCTCCTCCGCACGGTAATGTAACGGTGACGCAACAGGGTTGCGAGAGACGATGGTAGTAACAGCAGTTACTACCGCTAGCATTGCTAGCAACACAGCGCCAGGCAACAAGGGTGCTTATTACGTGGCCGTTTTCTGTATTGTCCAATCGCGGCTACATGAGCAGCGAAGTCTATTCACAGTCAGTCCTGGAGCTACCTACGAGTCAGTCCTCGAGCTACCTCCGAGTTAGTTCCGAGTTAGCCAGCAACCAGTCAGTTGTATTGTGGCATTTGG